TCGGGGCGGTTTTGGCACCGGAGGCCGTGGAAGAGGCCGCGGACGAGGCCGGGGGCGCGGACGAGGCCGGGGGGCCCGAGGAGGCAAAGCTGAAGAGAAAGAAGTGAGTGGGATAATGCTTTGAAAAATATCTTCTTTTTTCTTTATTAGGGCGGTATTTACAGTGGCAGGCAGTTCCACAGGATGGCTAGAGATATTTCCCAATGGAAATAGCCAGATAAAAAGTCCTGTGTGCTCATAACTAAAGGCTTTATTTTTTTTTCCATGAACATATTTATGAACGTGGGTGGCAAATACAGAACTCAGTTTGCTGCTTGGGGTGCCTTGGCTGTGCTTTTGTAGGTGGGTGATCCTTGATGGTGGAGTATGTTGTTGAAACATTCGGTTTGGGATTTTCAAATTATTTTTACAGTGGATTCCAGTCACGAAACTTGGCCGCCTGGTGAAGGACATGAAAATCAAGTCTCTGGAAGAGATTTACCTTTTCTCGCTTCCCATCAAGGTATTGCTTTATGGGATTTGGAGGGTTTGAGTAGGTTGGTTTTCTGTTGAGGCCTGTTGCGATAGCGAAAGGATTGTGATGTTGGGTGTGGAAAGAAGAGATGGCCTGAATTCTGACAACCGAGCGTGGAGACTCACAATACTAGAGGTTTGGTTGGAGAACTGAGAAAGGATGTAGGGCTTTTTCATGCAGTGTATAATTTATCTGACGGGGTACGGTTTGTCACAGTGACCACTGTGAACCTCCTCCTTCAGGGCAGTCTACCTTTGAACCTTGGGAACCAGCATTGGGAGGGCGCTGTTGGCGTCAGCACCCCTTTTCGGGAGCTTCTGAAGAACGTTTGCTCAGGCCGGCAGAGGCGTTGCAGGGTGCAGAGCCCTGAGCTAGCCTGACCTTTCTCTAAAGCAGGGGTGTCCAACCTTTCACCTTCCCTGGGCCACATTAGAAGATGAACATTTGGTTTGGGCCGCACATACATTTGGTTTGGGCCGCATGTGGGGTGCACCCCTAGCTGTCCTCCACAGCCCCACTCCAAGTGCGCTTACCGGCAGCTGCGATCTCAGACAGCAGAGGCTGCCAGCTTCGACTCTAGCGGCTTTATGGGGCCGGGAGGGTGTCCACCTATTGACGGGGATGGCGCAATGCAGTCACACAGCCCCCCTGTCCCATCCCCTCCCGCTCCTTCCTTCCCTCGACAGCAGCAGCTCATCCGGTTGCCTTGATTTTCCAGGAGTCTGAAATCATTGATTTTTTCCTGGGCTCCTCTCTGAAGGATGAGGTTTTGAAGATCATGCCCGTCCAGAAACAAACTCGTGCTGGACAGCGCACAAGGTTTAAGGTAAGCTGTTGGCCCTGTCTCGATGCTGGGGATCGGCCTCCGCCTCCTGGTATTCAAGCAGGTCTCCAAAGCAGCTCAGAGGGGAGTGGTTTTTCCTCTGCCTCCTCTTTGGGGGGGAGCACTCACGGGGGGGGGGGGCTGATTCCAGCAAAGAGTAAAAGGGATTGGTTTCTCTAAACCAGATTGCCAGCTGGTAGGGCTTCTTCCTGTCCCTTTCCTGGAGAGACTTGGTCCAGAAACAAACTCGTGCTGGACAGCGCACAAGGTTTAAGGTAAGCTGTTGGCCCTGTCTCGATGCTGGGGATCAGCCCCCGCCTCCTGGTATTCAAGCAGGTCTCCAAAGCAGCTCAGAGGGGAGTGGTTTTTCCTCTGCCTCCTCTTTGGGGGGGGGTGCACTCACGGGGGGTGGTGGTGGTGAAGGAATCCTTTTCTTCCAGCAGAGAGTAAAAGGGATTGGTTTCTCTAACCAGATTGCCAGCTGGTAGGGTTCTTCCTGTCCCTTTCCTGGAGAGACTTGGTTTAGCACCTGGCATTCCCTGCTGGCACCTCCCCACCCACCCCCTTCAGTGGCGTAACCAGCTGGATCGTGCTTAATGTCCAAAATTAGGCGAGGTGAGGCGCAAGGGATGGTAGGTCGGAGCTTCAGATGCTGGGAGCCCTCTGGGATAAACACTGATTGGGAGGGGCAGGGAAGAACTCTGCATCTCAGAACGTCGGGAGCCTCATTTGGTTCAGAAAATACTTTTCCTAGTTTATGGATTGTTGAATTGTCATGAAGACATTGCTTCTCTGGTTCTTGTGGGCTTATGGCTGAATAGCTGGCATAACCAGGCTTATAGCTTGTTTCCTGCAGAGGAGCACTTGTATTTTTTAATAATCATAACTGAGACCTTGAATGGTGTTTTTCTTCCTCTTTTAAGTTTTAAATGCGTTTAATTACTCAACGTATTTTAATTTGGTGTTCTAGCTTAATTTTTTTAAAATACACAATTTATTGTGTTTTTAACTCTTAATTTTTTAATACTGTTATGAGTTTTATTGGGAGAAAAGGCAGACTATGACTATAAATAAGATAAATAAGTAAAGAAACAAACAAAGAAAAGTAAACCAGCATGGAGCGTTGATGTTCTTAGCCAAGGCCTGTTGAGTGATAGATGCATAAGCGATGGGCCGCTTCTTGTTTTCCCTTCAGGCTTTCGTAGCCATCGGAGATTACAACGGCCACGTAGGCTTGGGAGTCAAATGCTCCAAGGAGGTGGCCACAGCCATTCGTGGGGCCATCATCTTGGCCAAGCTGTCCATCGTGCCAGTCCGGCGAGGCTACTGGGGGAACAAGATCGGCAAGCCCCACACCGTGCCTTGCAAGGTAAAGCCTCTGCTTTTTTCTTGACCAGGGACCTTGGGAATGGCTGTCCAGAGTGACCCCCTCTGAAATTTGGATTTCAGCAACCCACATCAGGCGCTTCTGGGGAGGCTGCTCAGCGTGTGAATGTTTCTGTTTTAGGTGACAGGCCGCTGTGGGTCCGTCCTGGTGCGTCTCATTCCTGCGCCCCGCGGGACTGGCATTGTGTCTGCGCCAGTTCCCAAGAAACTCCTGATGATGGCTGGCATTGATGATTGTTACACCTCCGCCAGAGGCTGCACGGCCACCCTGGGCAACTTTGGTAGGTCTTGATCCCCCTTTGGGCAGGGGGGCTGTATTTTCTTCCCTGGGGGAGGCAGCAGCAGCGGTGGAGGGTGCCCCGAAAGAGAAAGGCAGGTCAAGAGCCAGAATTTTTCTAAGCTGTGAGAAGGCGGAAGTAAAACAGGCAACTCTTGGACATTTAAAGTAACAGGTGTATGCCACTCTTCTTTCAGTATGGTAGGTGCACCTGAGATATGTCTCTTATCAGAGAGATACTGTGGCTACAGCGGATGCTTTATAAACCTGTCTTATCCTGTTTTGTTGTTGTTGTTGTTTTGGCAAGCCAGCTTTAAGAGAAAGATAGAGTCCCACTGGGTGTTTGAAAATTCAAGCTTGCTAGATTTTTCCTGCCCTGCTGTCACGATCTTTGATAAAAAAAAAACCCTGTGGATTCTGATGATCCAGGTTTCCTCTGCCTGTAGCCGAGCCAGGGACAAAAGCTAGCTGGTACCAGGGGCCTTTGTTCCTGGAGGAGGCAGTTGGGGTAAAGTGCAGTCTCCAGTTTGCAAGTTTTTAGAGCTGGCATAATTTTCACCTGCTAATTGCTGACTAATTTCTAAAGTATTAGCAGGACACCTTTTTTAATCCAAGAGCCTTATTTTTCAGATTTCTGTGAAAGGCATGCTGCTCTGATTTATCTAGTGCGTACTTATGTCCGTGCACACATTTCTTTGCTGTTAAGATTTTGCAGATCATTTGGGGGTTGAAATTTGTGGTTTCTGCGAATGGTCTTGCTAGTGCAAAACCAGCTTCCATTTTACCTCGGTGTCATCCTCTGTGTTAGGCAGCCTGTGTGGTTCTTCAGGAAACACTCAGACCCTCTCAGCTCTGCCCAGTTGCACCAGACGTCAGTGGCGCACCTGTCGTTTATCGAGAGGAAAAGTAAACTGGTTCCTGTTTGCACGGCAGTGAGACTTGGTGGTCTCCCTGTTCCTTTTCAGAACCCACAGAGGGACGATTGCTCGAAATAAATGTAGCATACACTATTTTCCTAATGAGTGACTTGGCTTTGGTACTTTGTACTTAATTTCTTTTAACCAAAAGGATCCTTGATTTGTTTTCTAGCTAAGGCCACTTTCGATGCCATCTCTAAGACCTACAGTTATCTGACCCCTGATCTCTGGAAGGAAACTGTGTTTACCAAATCTCCTTACCAGGTAAGGGGACAGAAGCCACTTTGGGTTTTTTCCTTTTGAGGAGAAAGGTGGGGTAAGAAAAATACTTTAAATAAATAATTGGCTTAGGGGTGCAAATTCAAGATAACTATTTGGAACCCCCTAACCTTTCTGCAGAGGCTCAGGTTCTTTCTCTTCCCTGCCCTTCCTCTGCAGGAGTTTACTGACCATTTGGCCAAGACCCACGCGACGCGGGTGTCTGTGCAGAGGACTCAGGCTGCTGCTGTGGCGACTACCTAAAAGAGGCTGTACGTTCAATAAAGTGACATGACCAAGTCAAATTTCTAAACCAATTTTCAAATGCTGTGGTCTCTTTATTTGGGTGTAGGTGGGATTGTTTAAACTAGGTGGCTGGCCAGGTATCGGGGGCCTTTAGAAAGTCTAGCTGAATGGGCGGTACAGTTCAGGACAAAAACACCACAGAGTTATTCCCACCAAAGCAAAGGAGTTCATTTGGCCTTGAAATTTATTGCACAGCTGGTTAAAGCTTTACTCTGTATCTGAACTGCCCCATTTCATAGAATGGATTTGATGCTGGTTTGGGAAATCATTGTTTGGTAGGGCTGTGGGTGCACTCTGGGGCTCTAATTATACTGCAGGCAATTAAGATCCAAAAGAGAATCGCTAGCTTAACCCTTCAAGGTGAGCAACCAACTGTGGAAGGCCTGTATGTTTCCACCAACATGCTCAGCTTAGGCTGTAGCAACCTGTTTTGCCAAAAGTAGAAGTGATGAAGGTGGCACAGAACACCCTTGGGGTTTAGAGGATGGGGTGGCATGCACGCTTCCTACTCAAGTCAGCCTGGCCCAGGAACACCACCTTTTACAGTGTTTTTGCCAGCACAAATAGCTTTCAAACCCCCCCCACCAAGAAATGGGGGAGAGAAAAGGTGGGTGCTCAAATGCATGGACTGCAACATCGAATCATTGATTTTGGTCTAAATAGCAGCACACAACCAATTTTGGGAACCAGCAGTAGTTATAAGGGATTGTTCTACGCTTAACCTTTTTTAAAGACTGCCAGTGTTCTAACTTTGGTGCCCCGCTCTGCTTGGTTGCCATGTACACATTAAAACGGAATACAGAGTTCTGTCTACCTGTGGCTGGACTTTTCTGCAGAAAAAGTGAACTGGGAGGAACCATGAAGGCTGGCAAATGTTTATAAGGGAAGGGAATCAAACACATATTGCAGTCAGTGCTGCTGCTGCTACCCCCCCCGCCTTTAAGACTTGTGTTCTGCCTGATGTCCAAAAATGGACACGCTTGGGGTGCACATGATTTGACACTTCTGTTCTTGCATGAAAGAAGGCAAAGGAGATAGTCAAGTAGGTTTATTTTTCCCCGGCACCACTGAGTCTGTACAGGTTTTAACACTTCTGTGAGAACTCACTGTGATTTTAATCTGCTACAAGAAAAGAGGACTGCACTGGAAATCAATTCCAAATGGTCGTGATCCAGTAGCAGTTTGCTTTATTCCTCGGCTGCCACCTCGGCTTCAGCAGCTTTCCTGGCTTTCCTTTCGGCAATCATCTGCTCTTTCTGCTTCATTAAGCATTTGCGAGCTGTTCCGTAGGCGCCGAGATCACCATCTACAATGACAGCAGAACACAGACGCTTCAGGGAGGGCCAGCCAGCGGCTCCCGAGTGGCACAGCTATGTACCAAGCAAGGAAATGTGTTTTTTAAAAAAATATTAAAAACAACCAGGATTACTTGGTCAAAAAAACAACAACAAAGTGCTTGACATTGAGGCAGCAAGGATGCAAAAGCCATACCACCACACAATCCCAAAATCTCAACCTTGGGTGGTATGTTTGTTAGGCAGGAGAGAAACTGTCGGGCGAAATGTTAGGAAAGCAAGGGAAAGCTTGATCTCACAGTTTAGGGTTCCCTCCACCTCACCGCTACTCCTAGACTGCTTCCCAAACTAATGACCCACAAATACCCTGCATGCTGCAGCCCTCGGCAACACTGGTTTGTTCCTGCACGCTTACAGGCCCGGGCAGCCATTTTTGTGGTGGCTTCTGGCACTCAGCGCTGGGCTTCCAGCAGAGCTGTCCCAGTCTAACTGCTTCCTGCCAAAGGCAGACTGGGCCTTCAGGAGGCCTCAAGAATTCCTGCCATAAAATAACCCCCCTTTTTGGTACTGGTGCAGTTAACATTCCTTTTCACTGCAACATCTCCTGAGTGCTAAGCAGGGCGTTACTGTATTTGACAGCAAGCTGTGTTCTCACCCCAGAACACTATTTGATCCCACACTGCCAATCCAATAATAATAATAATAATAATAATAATAAAGCCACCTAGGGTAGACTTACATTTATTCCAGTAAATCTTGATTACATCTTTATAGTGCTGGACCTCCTTTGCACATTTCTGATCAGCGTTCTCTCCGTGCAGTGCCTTGCAATGACCCACTCGGTCCTTTATTATCTTCAGAATTTGTTGGTCAACCAAGCTGTACAAGCAAAGGGAGAGAGAAGAGGCATACCTGAAGAATGCCACAAAACAGATGTAGACAGATGTGCTATAGGTGTGATCTGGGATCAGGTGGGGCTGTACCCCTCATGCACGTGACTTTGCCTGTGCGTGCCATTCCCCTCCTGTGCTGGGTTCCAGAGGAAAGCTGCAGGGAGGCAGGTAGAGCCATAGGCGCACACTTAGGAACCTTGGTTTCCACTCTGACTGATTTTAAGGGGATAAAGACTAGTCTGTGAGGTCTAACCAGCCCTGCTGAATTGCTGCTAATTGGTACCCTTTGTTGATTTTAACTGTTTTAATGTCTTCGTTTGAGCTCAGTGGTTTCTACCGTGGAGCTGATTTATGATGTTTTCGTTAAATGTCGTTTTACCTGTTTTTATTCATTTAAGACCTTTCAGTATCTTCAGTGCTATATCTTACTGAAAAGGTGGGCGTACATAAACAAAATAAGTAAATATCTGTATAACCAACCCCTTGAGGGGAAAAAATGGGCAGAGAACCCTGTGCTTCACTTCAAATAAAATTATCTTCCCATAGAACAACAGCAATTATTTTCTTTTTTTCCCCAGCTAGTTTTTCTTGGTGGGGCCTGTACATCATAAGGCCGTGGACGATCCCTCTCCTCGCTCCAGCACACCTCTGCAGAACATTTGCTAACGTGAGAACAACATACAAATCTCTCTTCCACTGCATCTCTGCTTCGTAGTGGCAGACGACATCATCCTCCAAACACTCGGTCAGCTCTGGGACGCGGCGGAATTTCCGGTGATAATAATAAATTCTGTTATTGGCACGCTGGCGTTCAATCCATTCTGTGGAGAGAAAGCATTCAGGCACCCTCAAGATAACTGCCAGAAGCCTTTACAGCAGTGAAGAGAACACTTTACAGGAGGGGGAAACAGAGAGAAACCCAACCAGAGGCCTGTATCACTCTGACGGTCAAAACTGTGCGCTCCAAAACATTCTGTCCTGTGTTAAGGTCTATATAGGATGGGAGTCAAAGCTCAGGCAGAAATTAGTTCTTGATTAATCATTAGTGCAAGGCCAAGAAGACATGAGCCAGAGGGCAAAATCGACAATGCCTCTTATTTTATTGGTTGATCTAATTTGAAATATTTTTAGCCTGCCTTTCTCCATAAAGGGACCCAAGGCGGCTTACAACAATTAAAGGACAGTATTTGTACACATATTAAAAGAAGGACTCCATGGCACCCTAAAGCACTAACCAGTTTGAATGCAAGAGGACAAAGCGGCCTGCAATCCACCATAACGTCTTTAGGGTAAAGAAAAGGGGTTAGTTTTTTTTTAAGCTGCCAAACCCCACTGTCCTTCCATTTGTTTTGTTCTGCTGAAAATAAGGCTGAAATAACACCCAAGAAGTCCTCCCCTGCTGCCAAAATCAGCAGGTAGCTTTACAGAGCCACAGGGGCACAGCCAGCAGAGACCCTTGGCCTTTTTGCCACGCGGGGGTGTCCCGGCAGCAGGGACTTAAGGGTTTTGTGGGGGACCATGGGGGTTGTAGTCTGAAAATCTCTCTAGCTCCCTCTGTCCCCCCCCCCGGGTGAAGGCGTCTTGGCTCAGAGCTTTAGAAACAATGCTTTGGCCGGGTGGGAGAGACTACAAATCCCAGAATGCCCCTGCAGCCAACTGGGGGATTCTGGGATGTGTTGCCCACCCCCTCCCCAAAAAAACTACTGATTCCATAGCTCAGCCCTTGAATTACCCCGTGTGTCCCCTGCACCCTCCCAGGCGCGCCACCCTTTGCCTCATCCCCCCATCAGCTGGCTGGGGATACTGGGATTTGTAGTCTCCCCTCCTGAAAAGTACAATTTCCATAGTTCCACCGTTCGTCACCCATCCCCCCCACTAGCTGGCTGGGGGATGCTGGGATTTGTTGTCCTCCCCAAACAGTACTGTCCCCTTCATTCAGT